AGAAATGCTGTTGATGTATGGAAATGGGTTAGAAATTCGTACCTATGTATATAAAATGTACAAAATGATATTAAATTTGGTACTTTTTGCATTTGAGTACAGGATTGAGATAGCTTTAAACCAGTAAGGAAAGTAGTAAAGTCGGACGGGGCCGACTATATGATAACCTTCACCATTTTGAGTATATTCAACAGATCAATCCTAACAGACATCTCATTTTTAAGGGACCAGTTAAGGGGACTCCCCCCCCATTCTCGGGGTCAAAATTTTTGTTGATATAATTCGAATCTACACTGATTAAAGAATGTCTCTACAAAACTTCAAGTGAAAATCTCAAGAACTCTTGAAGATATAGCCGATTTATTGTATCAGCATCAAGTGACGGCTGAAGGGCTTCTCAAAATTTAAACTCGTTTTTCTCTAAACATTTTTTTACGAATGACGGGCACGATAACTCAAAAACTAATAACCCAATCGGTTCCAAATTTTGCAACGTTTCTCTGGGAGTGTATAGCTCTCGTATGAACTAGGATAAAGCAAATCGGTGAAGATCTTCCTTATTTTTTAACTTGGTTTTTGGTAAAAAATCGGCGATTTTTCAACAATATTTTTTCAAAGGTCCACCATTTTGTTAATTTTAGAGCGAAGTCAATAATCCTAGTTCATACGAGAGCCAGACATGTACTCTTTCTAACACCGTTGGAATTTTCGGATTCCGATGTTCCAGTGAGGAGTTATCATGCCCGCCATCAAAAATAAGGACTTTTCTTTAATTACAAAAAACAACAACAAAACAACAAAAAAAAATTTTGTAAATTATTTTTCTTCCTTTTTTAATCTTCAGATATATATGTGGAAAGTTACAAACCTTAACAAGCATTGGTATTGATTTACCAGCCCATTGAAAATCTTGAAAAATTAAAATCGAGAATGGGGGGGTTCTATCTAACTTTATTCATCGTATGAACCAGGATTATTGGCTTCGCTCTAAAATTAACAAAATTTCGGAACTTTGAAAAAATATTTTTGGAAAATCACAGATTTTTGACCAAAAACCAAGTTAAAAAATAAGGAAGATTTTCAACTATTGGCTTTATCCTCACTTGAGATTTTTACTTTAAATTTTGCAGGAACATTCTTGAATTAGTGTAGATTGGAATTAAATCAACAAAAATTTTGACCCCGAGAATGGGGGGGTCTCCTTAAATCATATTTTTTTTAACGATCTTTAGATTATTCAACGTGGATTTTTAAAATAGTTCATCAAGGACCTTTGGATCATAAAATTACAACAGACAAACGGATGTAGCTAAATCGAAATAGAATTTTATTCGAATCAGAAGAATAGAGGTACTATTTGTGGTCTACGATGAATATTTTAATAATAGAGGTTGATATTTTTTATTTCTGGTATTTTCTACCAACTGTAGTTAATTTGTAATTTTCGTTTTTAAAAATCCAATCTATTTTTTGAAGTCTTCAAATATTGAATCAAGGATTTCAAACTAAAATTAATGTATACGTAGTTTATTCTACCTGTGTTCATCATAAACATATTCCCATCCATCACATTCCTCTATTATCACGCCGCCTTTGGCTAAACAGTATTTCAAATAATAAAAAATGAAATAAAAAAACAGAGATGACAATTTCACAACGAAAATTGGATTATTGTCTAACAAACCCGTTAGAGTTATGTTCGCTGCCAAAAGCAATATATTCGAGAATGATAGTAGCTTCAAGTGACACTTTGCTATAATTTTGAAATTGTTTCTAATATCCGTTAACGCAGTTGGGGGGTATTTTCTATCGTTCTTTATACTACACATAGTCGTTGTAGTTATTCAGTTTGTTTTGACAACAAAAAGGGGGGAAAGTTGGGAGTCGCTCCACATTTCAGCATTTCTTTTTTAGTTCTTCCATTAAGCGAATGCCATAAAGTTGATGTGTTGCTATTTATAAAAATAAACTAGATTTTTGTTGTTAATATTGTCTTTATTTAATTTTGGGGGTTGTTAGTTTCTAACATTCTTTTCTGATGTTGTTTATTTCATTTTTACTTTGTGGCAAATATAAATTCAGTTGACAGTTATGAGAGAGTTTATGATGCCTTTTTTATATTCAATTATATTTAGTTTATTTGTGGCATACAAACATGTGTTGATTGGCTTTAATAGGGTGATTTATATGAGAATATAGAAAATTACAAAAAATAGAAGCCATGAAAATAGGACAAACTATGAGTTCATGACAGGACAATTATCATTAGGTATCGACTTTTCAAGAATATTTTCCAATGCTTATTTTTTAAAGAATATATTGTCAAGGCCTTAACAGGGCCTTAAAGGATATTTTTCCAAGGACCTATACAAGGAGTGGATTTTTTAAAGAATATTTTTCCAAGGACCTAACTGAGGCGTGGATTTATTAAATAATATTTTTCAAGGGCCAACTGAGGCGTGGATTTATTAAAGAATATTTTTCAAGGGCCAACTGAGGCGTGGATTTATTAAAGCATATTTTTTCAAGGCCCTAACAAGGCGTGGATTTATTAAAGAATATTTTTTCAAGGCCCTAACAAGGCGTGGATTTATTAAAGAATATTTTTTCAAGGCCCTAACAAGGCGTGGATTTATTAAAGAATATTTTTTCAAGGCCCTAACAAGGCGTGGATTTATTAAAGAATATTTTTTCAAGGCCCTAACAAGGCGTGGATTTATTAAAGAATATTTTTTCAAGGCCCTAACAAGGCGTGGATTTATTAAAGAATATTTTTTCAAGGCCCTAACAAGGCGTGGATTTATTAAAGAATATTTTTTCAAGGCCCTAACAAGGCGTGGATTTATTAAAGAATATTTTTTCAAGGCCCTAACAAGGCGTGGATTTTTCAAAGAATATTTTTTCAAGGCCCTAACAAGGCGTGGATTTATTAAAGAATATTTTTTCAAGGCCCTAACAAGGCGTGGATTTATTAAAGAATATTTTTTCAAGGCCCTAACAAGGCGTGGATTTTTCAAAGAATATTTTTCAAGGCCCTAACAAGGCGTGGATTTATTAAAGAATATTTTTTCAAGGCCCTAACAAGGCGTGGATTTTTCAAAGAATATTTTTCAAGGCCCTAACAAGGCGTGGATTTATTAAAGTATATTTTTCAAGGGCCAACTGAGGCGTGGATTTATTAAAGTATATTTTACAAGACCCTAACAAGGCGTGGATTTTTTAAAGTATATTTTTTCAAGGCCTAAAACAAGGCGTGGATTTATTAAAGAATATTTTTTCAAGGCCTAAAACAAGGGGTGGATTTTTTAAAGAATATTTTTTCAAGGCCTAAAACAAGGCGTATTTTTCCAAGGACCTATGCAAGGCGTGGATTTATTAAAGAATATTTTTTCAAGGCCTAAAACAAGGCGTATTTTTCCAAGGACCTATGCAAGGCGTGGATTTATTAAAGAATATTTTTCCAAGGACCTATACAAGGCGTGGATTTATTAAAGAATATTTTTCCAAGGACCTATACAAGGCGTGGATTTATTAAAGAATATTTTTCCAAGCCTTGGAAGAGGCGTGGATTTATTAAAGAATATTTTTCCAAGCCTTGGAAGAGGCGTGGATTTATTAAAGAATATTTTTCCAACGTCCACCAGAGGCGTCCACCACAGGCGTGGATTTATTAAAAAATATTTTTCCAAGGTCCATCAGAGGCGTGGATTTATTAAAGAATATTTTTCCAGGGCCAACTGAGGCGTGGATTTATTAAAGAATATTTTTCAAGGGCCAACTGAGGCATGGATTTATTAAAGAATATTTTTCAAGGGCCAACTGAGGCGTGGATTTATTAAAGAATATTTTTCCAAGGGCCAACTGAGGCGTGGATTTATTAAAGAATATTTTTCCAAGGACCTATACAAGGCGTGGATTTATTAAAGAATATTTTTCCAAGGCCTACTGAGGCGTGGATTTATTAAAGAATATTTTTCCAAGGGCCAACTGAGGCGTGGATTTATTAAATAATATTTTTCCAAGGCCAACTGAGGCGTGGATTTATTAAAGAATATTTTTCCAAGGACCTATACAAGGCGTGGATTTATTAAAGAATATTTTTCCAAGGACCTATACAAGGCGTGGATTTATTAAATAATATTTTTCCAAGGTCCAACAAGGCGTGGATTTATTAAATAATATTTTTCCAAGGACCTATACAAGGCGTGGATTTATTAAAGAATATTTTTCCAAGGACCTATACAAGGCGTGGATTTATTAAAGAATATTTTTCCAAGGACCTATACAAGGCGTGGATTTATTAAAGAATATTTTTCCAAGGACCTATACAAGGCGTGGATTTATTAAAGAATATTTTTCCAAGGACCTATACAAGGCGTGGATTTATTAAAGAATATTTTTCCAAGGACCTATACAAGGCGTGGATTTATTAAAGAATATTTTTCCAAGGACCTATACAAGGCGTGGATTTATTAAAGAATATTTTTCCAAGGACCTATACAAGGCGTGGATTTATTAAAGAATATTTTTCCAAGGACCTATACAAGGCGTGGATTTATTAAAGAATATTTTTCCAAGGACCTATACAAGGCGTGGATTTATTAAAGAATATTTTTCCAAGGCCCTAACAAAGGCTTCTTTATTTAAATTTTGAAAAATGTTGAAAAAATATAACAACAAAAATGCTGACATATTATAAATACATTTTGGCAAATAATTTTTGCCCAAAAATTACATAATTTTCATCTTATTTTTTTCAAAATCTTAAATACATGTCTTTAAAGCAAATTTATTGTTGACAGCTGTTTTGGCATTTGTCTAACATCTACAATTTTAGAAAATGTAAAATGATGTTTTTTTTGTTTTTGTTCACACACATCTGTATGTGTGAATGTAAAATTTTTTCACTTACAAGGCAATACAACAACATTCCATGTAAAAATTATTACAATAAACATCTAATAAACCACCTCATTTTTATTATTCCCTTGCCATTACAGGTTTTCTTGGTAGTTTCCTATCGAAGGGCCTGAAAACCAATCAATTAGAAGTGAATACCGATGAGAAAACATTGCGACCAATAGCTCGTCTGAAAGAGCCACGTGACTTGTTTGCCCTGCCCAAAGATAAGGATAATGATTGTTCACAACAGGCCCCCCGATGGCCGATTGAATGTCAGGTATGTATTATTCAGCTCTATTACAAAAAATAATTGGATCATAAAAAATTTTGTTGAAAAAGAAAAAACAATTTAAAACAACAATGTTGTGTTGCTGGCCATCGTTACACCTTCACAGACGATTGTGAGCAAAAAAAAATGTACCACAAAATGTTGTTTTGCCAAAAAAAAAAAAAAAAAAAACAAACCACAGAAATATGAACAGCATCATAATTCTTGCATAAATAAATGCCATCGAATGCTGGTGATTTACGTTATATTTTCAGAAAAAAAAACAACAACAAGAATTACTAGAATATATGGCAAAGGCCCAAAACAATGTTAGTTTTATGTTAAAGATAGTACGAGGTTTGGTATGGTAAGGAAAATTAATTGAAGATAATATTGCAAAATAAAATTTTACATGATGTTAAGAAAAATTTTCCTAAATATTAAGCTTCGAATCTTAAATGAAATTTCCTAATGAGTCCCTTCGGTTAGAAAATTCAACAGGACCTATACATGAGGACTATATTGATGATAATAGACCCACTTTACATAAAATTAGTAATATAGGTCCATATTTTATCCCCAAATACAGATCGTTTCCATTTGAATTTTTTTAGGGATTTAGGGATTTCAAATAGAAGGGCCAATCATTTTCAAATCCTACGTTATGGTGGGTAAGAAATTTTTACATCGAAATCTTTTTATATAAATCCAAGTTTTAATATATCCCCTCGCATCACTGTGAAGGATACAGAAGGGATTTAGGGGATTTAGCTCCATTTTCAAACAGAAGGGACATTAATTTTAAATTTCTAGGTAATGGTAGGTAAGAAAATTTCATGTCGAAATCTTTTGATATAAGTCCATGTTTTAATATATCCCTTACCTCATTGTGAAGGGTATAAAAAGTTCTGTCGGGAATAATTATACCCTTCACCACACTGTGGTACAGGGCATTATGTCTTTGTGAATATGATTGTAACAGGCAAAAGGAAACGAGAAAGACACATGGTTCCTTTTGAGAATATGCATAGTAGAATCACTTTCTGAGTCGATTTACGCATGTCCGTCTGTCCGTCCATGTATTTTTGTGAACAAAGTACAGGTCACATTTATGATCCGATTTGGATGGAATTTGGCATAGGCCACTTATTTGGCCCAAGGACGAACACTACTGAAATTGGGAAAAATCGGTTCATAGTTTTGCATGCATACGAATCCAATTCTCGAAAAACGACATTATTCCTGAACTAAATGACCTAATGGGATGTGAATGGAACTTCAGCAAGAACAGAGGACTTCAGCAAGAACAGAGAATTCCTAGAAGAGTAGGGAGACCAATCATTAAGAATAATTTTGTCTAAATACCTTTTCTTTCTAGAGCGCACAACAGGCCTCCACATGTCCCACAACGGACATGTGGTGGTGTAAACCACCCCTCTTTTCAAACTAACTAATTAGATTTAGCTCCCATATATTTTCGTCCGATTTAATGTAAATGGTGCACCAAAGTCCCTATATATCTTTCGATTTGCACGAAATTTGGTACAGCGTAATGAATTAGGTCTAGAATGATGTATGTTAAGTTTCCTGAAAATCGGTTCAGATTTAGATATAGCTCCCATATATATTTTCGTCCGATTTAATGTAAATGGTGCACCAATGTCCCTATATATCTTTTGACTTACACGAAATTTGGCACAGCGTAATGAATTAGGCCTAGGATGAAGTGTGTTAAGATTCCTGAAAATCGGGTCAGATTTAGATATAGCTCATATATCTGGCCAAATGAAAAATGTAGTATCGGTTGTAGAATGACATGTTTATGGATCCAATTTCATTTTAGTGGTCCTTTAACAATGCGACGTCTGTTAGGATTCATCTGTTGAATATACCCCAAGTGGTGAAGGGTATCATATAGTCGGCCCGTTCGACTTTACTACTTTCCTTACTGGTTTTGACTTGTTTTATAATCAATTTTAAGTTCTCTAACAGTGAAACCTTAATATTTTTGTCATAACCCGATCTTAATCGGAATTTATGTCCTCATGTCATTTCCTCACAAAATCCACAAATCCTCCCCTACTCAACATCAAAAAAAAAAAAAAAAATCAATTTTGTTTCATCTCCGTTACATTGAAACAAAATTCAATTTAATCAATCATCATTCGTTTAGAAAGTAAAGTTATTTCTAATCGATTGATTTGGTTTCCAATTTATTGCGTCTAGCCCAGTTTTCACATCAATCAAACTTGCCATTGAAAAACAAAACAACAAAAAATCCTGCAGCCTCCTTCATACACCTTTGCTAGTTAAAAACAAAAAATGATTCCCGGCCTAAAGTGGCGGTAGGGGAAAATGAAAAATAACTGCAAATCAAATTTGTTTTATAAAATCGAATACTAAACCAAACAACAGCACAGCCACCACCCCCTCCACTCAGCGATTGGATAACAACCACAACATACACTCAACCCACAACTCCCCACCTAGTATTCAATAACAACAAATCCACAAAAAAGCTAAAAACAAAAACTCATCAATCATTATTTAGTGGCGCACGAGGTAGCTTTCGCTCCTCCAGGTTTTTGTTGTTTTAGCAACAACAACAACATTGCTTTATGTTTGGTTAGGTGTTTGTGAAAAAGTGGACCATAGAATCATTGGTGGTAGCCAAAATGCGTCTCAGGGGCATTATTTGATAGAAAAAACATCAAACACACACACACACTCATACATACACAAAACTTTTCATTTCGAAAAGGGAAATTTAACAAGGAAAATTGAATTTTGTTGGTCTTGTTGTTTACTACCACCCATACACTCATGTGCATCATACATACCATAGGAAACCAAAACAATACTCGTACAATCGTTGTACATATCTGGTGCACACATTGCTCCGACTTTTGAGGGGTCATTCATATCACCCATCGATATATGAATTTGGTATTCAGATACAGGCATATCGTTATGTATGTATGTATCTCCTGAGAAATTATGAACTAACAGATAGAGCAACAACAGCAAGGGAGGAATTGAGAGACATGAGAATTTCAGGGGTCACACTATGGAAACAAAAAATCCTCTGTCTTCATAACTCTTCATAACAATAGATTTTTAAGCGGTCCTTACAAATTCATGGATTTCCTTCGTTAACCTTACCGGTATATATTTTACAGAGAGCACATTTGTGTGTTTTCATGTACATTTGCGGAGCAGTCTATACATTTACGGAACATGTTCTAAAAGCCAGGCACATATCTTTATTATACCATTACGCAGAATGAATGCGATTGGGAAATGTGGAGCTGAATACAAAAAAAAAAAAAACTATTCGAAAAACAACTACCAGATAAATGGACGTCTTATTAGACAGATTAAAGGAGATTTTTCAGCTGTAGAACTTGAAGTCTTACTATAGAGAAAATCCAAATGTAACAATTGCGATCTCTATCACCAAAGGGATAAGGCTAAATCGAGGTAATACTTTATTCTGATTAAGATTATGAGTAATTTTCGCGGTTCATTTATCCATGTTTATTCTGTAGTGAGCATCCATGTTTATTCGACGGCGAACATGATTGGCGATCAGTGGAAAATTCGAATCTCAAAATTGTAACGCATACATACCTGTCACTGGTATGAATTAGGATTATTGACTTTACTCGAATATTTGCACAAAAAAGGGGACAGTTTTTTCTTTTGAGAATTACATATCTTTGCTCCATAAGCCGAGCTTAAAAAATATTTCCAGGCGCGTCGGTCTTGCACGCAGCTCTTCCAATTTGAAAGACCATGTTCGGCAATGTTGTTTTCCACTCCATCCATTCACACAAGATGGCCTAGCCAACGTAGTCACGGCAATTCGATACGTCTGACATTGCCGATGTTCGAGAATAGATGGTACAACTCACGGCGATATTCACCGTGAACGCAGATCGGCCCACAGATCTGCAGGAGAATTTTTCTCTCAAACACCCCAAGAGCTGTCTTATCTGATTGCGCAAGTACTCATGCTTCAGATCCATACAACATCACGGGTAGTATCAGCGTTCTGAATTGCTTTTTTAGACAATAGTAGAATCTGTTGGTTAACAATATTCTCCTTCGAATTTCAAAACCGATGTCATTAGTTTTATTTATAGCGGTACCAAGGTATAAAAAAATCTTTGACTACCTCGAAGCTGTAGTTCTCAAGTTCCAAAGTTGATCCGAGTCTACTGGACGTCTTATGCGTTGATACCATCAGCTTGGTCTTCTCGCCATTTATTGCCAGATCCCTTCTCAATGTGTTCAAAGGTAGCTGTTACCGCTTCCAATCGACCATTATGTCGATGTCATCGGCGTAGGAGAGTAACATGTGTTGTTTGGTGCCATTTCTGTTCACCTTTGTCTCCTGTATGACCTTTTTTCCAGCAGGATGTTAAAAAGGTCCCACGACAAACTGTCACCTTGTCTGAATCCTCGTTCGGTAGTAAAGAGCTCCGAGAGGTCCCTTCCGACTTTAATTGCTAACATTGCGTCACTCAAAGTAATCCATCATAGCCGTATTGATTTTGCAGAAATGCCGAACACAGACATGGCATTAAACACCTCTGAACGGATAGGGCTGTCGAATGCGGCTTTATAGTCGACAAATAGGTGGTATGTGTCGATGTGTTTTTCGTGGGTCTTTTCCAGGATTTTGCGCAGAGTGAAAATCTGGTCAATGGTGGATTTGCCAGGTCTGAAGCCGCATTGGTATGGTCCAATAATGTCATTGACCAATGGCTTCAATCGTTCACACAGCACACTGGATAGCACTTTATATGCGATGGAAAGGAGATTTATTCCTCTATAGTTGGCACATATCGTCTTGTCTCCTGTTTTGTGCACGGGACACAGGATGCTGAGGTTCCAATCATTGGGCATGCATACATCTAGCCAAATTGTACTAATCAGCTGGTGCATGCTCCTGAACAGCATCTGGCCACCAGTCTTGTATAGTTCGGCTGGTAACCCATCAGCTCCTGCTGCTTTGTTGTTCTTGAGCCGATTAATTGCTTTTATGACCTCATCTTGGCTATGTGGTATACACTCTATACCATCATCTCTTATTGGTTCTGGGGTATTTTCTTCAGCGCCACTATTTGATACCAGAAGCTTTTCAAAATGCTGCCTCCAGATGCTCAACACGCTGTCTGTATCTGTCACCAGGTTTCCTTCTTCATTTCTACAGGAGGATGTGCCTGCACCAAAGCCTTCGGTTTGGCGTTTTACTCGTTGGTAATCTTTTCGGACTTCCTTCTGACTCCTGTACATCTCGATTTGCTCACGCTCACGTATTTCTTGTTTTTTCTTCTTTTTTCTGAAAAAAAAAACGTTTCTACTCTCTCCTTTTCTCCAGATAGTTCTCCATTACGTTACGTGTTGCTACTGTCTACAGGGTTGCCTTGTACGCTGCGTTTTTCACATCAGTAGCATTACTTGGTACCCAAGTGTTGTTTTTGCTGCAGTTTGATGGGAGTGGGCAATTCTTTGCCATTGTGCTTTTATACTATTATCGGGACAAGAAGTGCTTTCTTCACCCAAGTGTTGTTTTTGCTGCAGTTTGAAGGGAGTGGGCAATTCTTTGCCATTGTGCTTTTATACTATTATCGGGACAAGAAGTGCTTTCTTCAAGCAGATGGGTAAGTTGAGCTAAATAGGCCTTGGATACCTGTTGTGTTTGCAGCTTTTCGACGTCGATTTTCCGTGTTGTGTTAGATCGCACATTTGCTGCAATATTAAGACGAGTGTGAACCATGGCTGCTCCAAGGTAGTGGTCCGAATCGATATTCGCTCCTCGGATCGATCGAAAGTCTAATACACTGGATGAATGCCTTACGTCTATCACAACATGATCAATTTGATTTCTCGTTGCTTGATCAGGAGAGATCCAGGTGTCCTTGTGTATATCGAGATGCTTTAATCAGGTGCTGCTAACTACTTATTCCTCCATAGTTGGCACATATCGTCTTGTCTGCTTTTTTGTGTACGGGACACAGGATACTGAGGTTCAAATTGTTGGGCATGCATTCCTCTAGACAAATTGTACTCAACTGGTCAATGATCCTGCTGCTTAATTATTCTTCAGCCGATTGATTGCTATTCTATTCTTGGCTAGGTAGTATACATGCTATACAGTCATCTCTTATGGGTTCTGGGGTATCTTCTTCACCGTCACTATTTAATACCAGAAGCTTTACAAAATGATCTTTCCAGATCCTCAACACGGTCGATTGTATTAATAGTCTCTGAGTTATAGTGTCTGCCAATCGTAAAAACTGTGTTTCGAGAAAAATGGAATTAAAAAAAAAATCACTTCAAATTTTAAAGAGACTTTCTTGAGAAGTTATAGGTTCAAATTAAATAATAATAAAAAAATAGATTTTTGGAAACCGAGAATGACTTTTGCGATCAATATTAATGGTCCCTTTACCATCGTTATAGGCAATTTCCACTGTATATGGAGAAATATAATAGTTTCACTACATTAGGATCTTACGAATAATTCTGATCAAAAACATCATCGTTATTTTAATATTTCGTGATTTACATATGTTCGATGTTAGGTCGAGTAGGACACAAGTTCCATTGTGGTATGATCGGTTTAAGGAAGGAGTTCAAGCAGATGCTGAAAATCGTCTAGCACGATCCAGATAACCTGAAAAATATCATAACTAGTAAAGAATCATGGTAGTATGGCTACTTGCCACAAGATCGTACGATCAATAAGAAATACCACCTTCAAGTTATACGCCGTTTTGGGCGAAACAATTTGTGGGAAACGCACAAAATTGTTGAATACCCAATTATGGATGTTGCACCATAATCGAGGACAGTGCGTGAATTTTTGACTACAAAAAATGTCTCATTACCGTATATACTTCACTTGGTCCCAAATGACTTTTTCCTATACCCAAAACTGAAGACACTAATAAAAGAAAAATGTTTTGCTACGATTGAGTTTATTAAATAAAAATTGAAACAGCAGATGTTGGCTATACCGAAAATGGGGATCAATTTGAAGGAGATAAACTAATTATTGATGAATAAAAAAATACTTTTTGAATAAAAAGAATTAAAATAAAAATATTTTTTTTATCAGACCTGGGGGTATGGGGTTTCTGGTGCACATTTCGAGGGTATAAAAATCTACACATACTATGGGGCTTTTATAGATGTGCTGAAGACCAGTGAGTCTTTATAGATAGGATAAAGAGCCAAAGAGACTATATAACCGACCTGAACACCGATCAATAAGGCTTTATGAAGGGCAAATGTGGCTAGATAGGCGACCTATTGGCTGACCAAGGAGACATTATTAATAAATTGAGTCCTCATATACTTTCTGGTGGAAGTCGCACCAAAGATCTCTTAATGACCTTAAGGAATTATTTACACATATGGACGACTCGTGATGAAGTCTGTCCAAGGTTAAAGAGATTCTTTGTAGACTATATATACGTTGTAGTCTGACCAGAGATTCTTTATAGGCGAGTTGTAGAAAGTTTCAGTAAGATTCCAAATACTTATCTATAAAAACTCCTCAAGTTCGTCTATGGCGCTTAGCTTTGAGTCTATAACTACTCAATGGCCCTTTAGATGGTATAGAGATATATAGAGATTCCTTTAGCTGGCCGATGGAGGTTCCTCTCAAATTGTCTAAAGAGAATCATTCTTACTTTTTCTAATCTGCATTTAGATTTAAAATATTTACAATGCGACCAATATGTTTTTCATTAAATTAATTTTGTATCAAATAATCTCTGTATGTGGCTGCCAAAGAAGCTGACACCAATTCCCAACAATACTAACCATTGAATTAACCTTTCACATATGTCGCTTTTGTTTTTAGTAATCGATATGCTTGATATGCATATAAACACCTGAGGACGTGCGTTGTAACATATCCATTTGGTAATAATGAAAATAGGAGTGTGTGTGTCATTTAAGACATAACAAAATTGAAAATAAAATCATCATTAGAAATTCGATTACACCCAAGATGGCAAAGGCTTTAGGATATGGGGCACACTTTATACGAAAATCAATAAAATGACAGGCAGACAGACACCAACAGATATGAAAATAAAAATTCATTACAATTTCAATTTCTCAAGAGATTCAAAAGTTATTTTGTATTTACAGTCTGACCACCTCTCTCTTTACAAATTTTCATTGAATACCTTTGAAATTTGTTGAATGAGAAAATTGTTTTCCTTTTTTTCTTTACAATCAATAATCCTATTATTTTATTCTTGTTCTACAAAGAATAAAACCACAGCCAAATATTTCTCTATTACTTTTGTGGTATGGTAAATTCTGAGCATTTAATTTGTTGCAATTACATTCCAGATCTAAATACCATTTTTTATTGGTTTTGAAATGTTGACCCCGAAGCAAAGTAAAAATTACTAAAAACCTAACAATCTAATAGTCTCTGGCACATTAGGTATAATGGGGGGTTGTTGTGAGTATTTGGCTTCAACTGGAAATACGAATTTATTGTTTAATAATTCTCGGAAAAAGAGATGCTGTATCAGCCCAGCCAACACCACCTCACTGAAATTCATTGTAAATGTGTTGTAACCACAAAAAAGTAAAATACTGACCACTAACAACTAAACCACAAACATTTATGTTTAGCATTCAAAATTTGTTGGATTTTGTTCAGAAATCGCAAATTAATGATAGTGGTGGATGGTGATGCTGTTGCTAATATACAGGGTGAGATAAAAACAAGGCTACAAAGTCAAAAGCCATATTTTTTACATTTTTTTTTTAATTTTATTGAATGAAAGCAAAAAATTTCGGAAATAGCATCAAATTTTAGAATAAGTTTAGATTTATTCGAATTGGTCACCTTTGGCACGAATTATGGCCTTCAAAATGCGAATGAAACCGTTACACGCTGCCCGAATGCTGCTCTACGGTATTTTGGCCCATTCCCGGCGAAGCGTTTGCTTGAGGTGACCGACACTTTGGTATTTTTAGTGCCAACCTTGCTTTCCAAAATACTCCAGACACAATAGTCCAACGGATTGGTATCCGGAGATTTTGTGCGCTCGAAATTAAGCGAGGAACCTCATTTTGTAAGCATTCTTGGATGGTGCATGCGATGGTATGAGTCCTGTTGGAATGTCCAAGGTCTGCGGCCAAAATGTTTGTCTGCCCAAGTCTCTAATACACCCTCCAGAATATTTTCGCGATAATAATCGGTGTTTATTCTGATGCCAAAATACGAGCGGAGAGCGGCTCACACCATCACCATGACCGGCGCTTGAGTTCTGGTGGCCAACCGCCTACCTCTTTGGCAAGTAAACACGATAATTTTTTTTGTTTACAAACTGCTGGACAACGAAAGTTTTCTCATCGGAGAAAGCCAAATTCGGCAGTTCACCACTTTCGGTCAAGACATTTTTCTGGAAAATTGGTATTATTTAGTGCCAACCTTGCTTTCCAAAATACTCCAGACACAATAGTCCAACGGATTGGTATCCGGAGATTTTGGTGGCCACTGTGCGCTCGAAATGAAGCGAGGAACCTCATTTTGTAAGCATTCTTGGATGGCGCATGCGATGGGCTGAGTCCTGTTGGAATGTCCAAGGTCTGCGGCCGAAATGTTTGTGTGCCCAAGGCTTTAATACACCATCCAGAATGTTTTCGCGATAATATTCGGTGATTATTCTGATGCCAGGGTCGATTAATACGAGCGGAGAGCGGCTCACACCATCACCATGACCGGCGCTTGAGTTCTGGTGGCCAACCGCCTACGTCTATGGGAAGTAAACACGATAATTTAGTTTGTTTACAAACTGCTGGACAACGAAAGTTTTCTCATCGGAGAAAGCCAAATTCGGCAGTTCACCACTTTCGGTCAAGTTTTTTTTTCTGGAAAATTCCAACAATATGCTTGTGTACGCTTGCAAACAATGTAATGAACTGTCACTGGAATAATTTTAACAGCTGTCGGAAGCGTGGCTTAGAAATGACAGCAGTCTTAAATTGGTTGCAGTTTTTTTATCTCACCCTGTATATATATATATATATATAATGCAAAAAAAAACTAGTAGTCGATTTTCACAATTCCCCCTAGATACCATTTTTTTTATCATTAAAACATTAAAACCTCCCGACATAGCCTGATGGCCAATTCTGGCCGTTTCTGGTCAATTGTAAACGGTTTGAAACAGTTTTAATGCAACATCGATAATTTCTCCGATTTTATCGACATTTTCGACGACCGGCCCAACTGTGCAAGGTGCATCTTTAACTTCAAAAATTCCTGAACGTAATCTACGAAAGCAAAATTGCACATAATTGGCTGTTAAAGTATCGGAACCATAAACACCATTCACAATTTTAGCCGCTTGACTTACATTTTCACCTTTGTCATAGAAAAACTATAAAATGTACCGAATTTTCTCTTTGTTCACTTTCATTTTAAACACCCAGTAACACACAATTGAATGCACCCAACAACAAGTAAAAAAGTGTCAGTCGGTGTTGCCGACAGATATATACCCCTAGCCTGTAGTTTGCGAAGATCTTCGGAAATACACACATATTTTATTAAGCTTTATATAAGAAATATGTTTTTATCAAAGAGGTTTCGGATTTAATGTTGATAAAATTTTATAAAATATTGACCATTTGTGAGGGAGATACCGGGAAGGAGTATACTACTGGGTCCCATCTTCGGATTAGATATAGGCTTAGTAAAGATAATAGGTTGTGCAAAGTTTGGTTAAAATATGACATTCCATTCGCCTGATATTGCATTAATATATAGTGAAAATTTTGACCATTCGTGGGGGAGGTACCAGAAAGAGTGGACCAAATCTAGACTTCGTAAAGATAATGGGGTGCAAAGTTTGGTTCATATCGGACATTCCATTGTGGGGGAGTTACCATAAGGAGTGTACGAACGGTTCCAATCTTCGGAATTGATCCAGGGTTGGTAAAGATAATAGGTTGTGCAAGGCTTGGTTCAAATCTGGCATTACATTCGCCTGATATTGGCTTGACAAATATTGAAATTTTTGACCATTTTTGACCTGATATTGAATTTAGAAATATTGAAAATTTTGACCATTTGTGGGGGAGTTACCATAAGGAGTGTACCAACGGTCCGCATCTTCGGAATAGATCTAGGGTTGGTAAAGATAACAGGTTGTGCAAGGCTTGGTTCAAATATGGCATTCCATTCGCCTGATATTGCATTTATAAATATTGAAAATTTTGACCATTCGTGGGGGAGATACCAGAAGGAGTGGACCAATAGGTCCCATCGTAAAGATAATGGTTTGTGCAAAGTTCAGTTCACATCGGACATTCCAAACGCCTGATATTGGATTTAATAATATTGAAAATGTTGACCATTTGTGGGTTTGCATTTATTATAAAATTAATTTTTAACACAATTTTGTACCATTTACGAGGAGTGGACCGATATTCCCCATCTTCGAATTTAAACTAAGTTTGGAAAAAATATTAAGTTGTGCAGAGTTTAACAGAAATCGGTTGCTGCCTTCGAGAGTTACCGTACGCACCAGCCAGGCAGACAGACAGACCACGGACGGATATGTGTAAATCGACTCCAAATTTTCTGAAACGGATTTTGTCCAAAGAAACATGGGGTCTAAAACTAATATTTCGATGAGGCACATTTTCACCGTATCAAAGGTATATACCCTCATTAATATAAAGGCTGAGGGTATAAAAAACAGCAAAATAATTTTTTTTCTGCGAAATGTCACCCTTTCAACGACCATAAATCTAAAATTTTTTGACAGATACTTTACGAGAAATTTATCAGTACAGTCATCTGCCAAAAAAATATGTAATTATATAAAACCCACCCAGCAATTATTTAAAATCTAAGGTTCTCAAGAATGGAGTTTAACTTTAAAACACATTTTAAAATGAAAGAGTTTTTTTTTTTTTTTTGAATCGATTATAAAAATTTTTTATGAAATTTTAACATTTATACCCTACACAACTCTGTTGTCAGGGTATTATAGCTTTGTGCAGCCCCAAAAGTTTGTAACGATGCGAAATATTGGTCCAAGACCCACCTTTAAGTATACCGATCGTCATATTTCGACTAGCTGAGTCGATCTAGACGTGTGTGTCCGTCCGTCTGTCCATTATAATTTGTAAACACGATACAGGCCACCGTTATGGACCAATCTTCACGAAATTTTGCATATAGGATGGGTTCTGCCCAATGAAGGCCCCTATTGTTTTTGGTAAATATTGGTAAATATTTAGGGGATGAAATGGACCAAATACTAAATTTTTGTCGCTTTTTCTGCTCGCTCCAGAGAGGCCACAATTATGGTCCGAACATCGCGAAATTTTATATGGAGAAGGGAATTGGGCCAAAGAATGAGCATGACTGATTTCATAAAGATCGGTCAATATATAGCGGCTTAAATGGACCCCGACTTTTGTGTGAAAAATGACAAAATTTGTATTCTATAGAGTATATGTTTACTCCTGAAGGACATAGACCCGAGAAGTTGATATTATATCCAAGAGGAGTGGTTGATTATTAAATTGATACCAATTATATTGTCGCATGTACTCGGATGTGGGAGATACACATAACTATTAACCCACATACAGATACCCATTACCACACCAGAGTGCGGAAATATAGCGCTGATCGCTCTCAAATTTTCTATGAAGTTCCAGCTACGGTCAAGGATAACGCCTTTAATTTTTGATGATGATCAGATAATAATTTTGGGATAAAAACTAATTTTTTGTGTTTTTTCTAGTTGATCTAGAAGCCACAATTAAAAGCCCAACACAAACCACGAAGAAGGGAATCTGGGCAAGTAGGGGAGACTGGGGCACCTTCGGCACTTTTTTTTTAGAGCTCTATATCTCAGTACATATTCAACATATATAACAACTATATGGCTGATTATTGTCCTCTGACAATTATGAAAAATAGTACCAAAAAGATATATAAAAATAGTATTAGTTAAAAAATTTTACAGTTTTATAAAAAAAGTCAAATTCGCCGAATGTGCCCCAACCCGGGGTAGCTTCGGCATTTGATGGGGCACATTCGGCACCATAGTCATAGCCGGGTAATTGTCATCGCTATAAGTCTGGTTAAAATTCTAATTATCTAAAGGCTCTATTTGGTTTTAATACGCCACACAATGTTTGAATTATAGGGCTTTATTTTCTAGCGGCGGACGTTTACATCTCAAGGTCGCACACACCATCAGAAATAGGGATTTTCTATCGCATTTTCGTCAATATAAACACGTTTGATCTTTTATATGCAATTTCGAGCCATATTAAAGGATTAGTTTTAAAGACAAACTCAAAAACATTTTAAGGAAATAATATTGCACAACCTGTATATGGCCGAATGTGCCCAATTTAAAATGCCGAATGTGCCCCGAATGTACTTTTTATAGTTTTTTCATTTTATTCGATCAGTTTTGTAAAAATATTATATTTTTAAATATTTCTATAATAATACACATCGTAGTTAACCACTTTTTAATAATATTGTCTTAAAAATTTAAAAAGTTTTATACACGAAATACTTACGAAATGGAATTGAAATATTACAGAAACATCTATAAAAATACAAAAACCTATGTATCTAAATAAGCTTAGTAGCTAGAAATTTCAAACTTTGTGTAAGTTATTTATTTCGATATTCGACACCTATGTATCGAAACTAGTGATGTACGGTGAGAGCTTCATATCGAAAACGCGATTGCCGAATGTGCCCCAGTCTCCCCTAATTAGAAGGACTGTACTGAATATTAGTATTCGGGCAAGGGGTGCAAATATCACGAAATATTGCCCAGGCTCGGAATAAACATCTGCAGAAAGTTAGAGTTCCGTGGTAGTTGTGTAATAAAATAATTTTTAGAGTATATAATTTTTTCTATGCCGTAAGGTATAAAATCGAAAAATATATGTGGTGATCAATAGGCGTATGATCAATATTACTCATTGCAAAATGAATAAATATTGATCATACGACACCACAGACTATTCATTAGAGAAAATTATATTTTAAGTGGTTATTTATACTCTATACTCGAAAGCCAGGAGAAGAACATACGTACCCACCATTATGCGACGCGTTTCGCCGTTGGTTAAGCGGCTCATCAGGCATATTGGGCTATGTGGCTTTACAAATGTCGTACGTTGATAACTTGTATTTATTCCGCCCTGATGCGAAACTTGCATATGCGAATTAAATTCAAATTTGTCAAAGTTCGACATTTGTCTTCATTCTAGGAACAGTCCTTTTCAAATGATCACTGCCCTTACTTTCAAATGATCACTGCCCTTACAAGGCAAAATTCAAATAACGAAAATTATATTATTTAAAAATTTAATTAAAAATATTAAAATTTCATGAAAATGATTCTAAACGATTTTAAATAATCCTCATCCACTTTAAAGTAATTTTTAAATTTAATCTCCATCTACAGAGCAAATATTTGAAACCTTAGAATTCAAATAATTTATGGATATAAAACTCCTGTATAATTAAACCCAAACAAATAACTTGAAGTAAATATTGGCAGC